GGAACTGCAAAACAGCATTGCCCAACAAGAGAAATTGGCCATGCTTGGATGGGGCCTCGGGGTTCTAATTGGGGAACCTCCCTTCACCCGCTAAAAGGTCTGTAATTTTCCCCCCTGATAGGGCCGACTGCTTTAGGGATGTGGGATGTGTACTGTGCAGGGGTTTTTTAATGCCAACAGAAGGTTATCGCAATGACAGGTTCCATTTAATTTTATCTGCTTGGAGCTGTGGGGTGCTTTCTGTGGGGGCATATTGATCCCCCACACCCATTTTGTCACGAAACCGCCGTCCCCGTTGCGTGCTCGAAACTCCCCCCACACCTACATGGCCTTTCTTTTATTGTTGGGGGCATTGTTTCCCTGCTTTGTGGGTGGCTGCTTTTCTCTGCCATACCTCAAACTGTATAAGCCCAACGAAGGGGAAAAAAGGGCCCTGGCACATTCCGCATTGGGTTCATGGTGGGGTGGGGGGGAGGAGAGGGGGGTTCCATCCTTGTGGTGGGGGGGTGGGAAGATTGTGGAGGCGAGTGGGACTCACTCCCCCCAGGGCAATCACTATACACCCCGACTCAGTGCACATGTTACTATCACCACTTGCTCAGTGCACTGCTTCCCCTACAACAACACACCCCTATACACTTTACAGATATCGCATACCATGCACATACTATGCACTGTACCATAGACTTAACATAACACACTTTAACAAACACACAGTTGTGACACAAACACGGGGGGCGCGCCTTTGGGGAAGGGGGGGGGACAGTTTTTCCCTCCCTCCGCCCCCCCCCCCTCCAAAAGGCCCCCCCTCACCGACCTCCCTACCCTAGGGGACCTTATTTCCCCCAAGAATTTTACATACACAAAACTTTTCTTTATTCTGCGGAATAGACAATGCGGGGGGTTCTGGCCCTTTCCAACACGAGCACAGATATTCACAACCAGTCGTTTTGATAATCCCCCGGTAGGTGTTCTTGATTGGACATTTGGCCAAAATCACAGAGGAGATCCCCCCACCCCTCTGGCAGAGGTCCAGATATATATAAATTTTATATAAATATAATAATATATTATAATATATAATATATATATATGGGGCTTTCCCCGAAAAGGGTTGGAAAGAGGGGGTAAAGGAGGGGTTTTTTGGCTAGGGGCTTTGGGCTTCCCGCAAGCGTGCATGAGCGTGTTAGATAGGAGGAATGGGGGCGAATGATACTTGAAACCCGACGACTTTGGGTTGGCAGGGTAATATTTATGAAGGGATTCAGGAAAAACCGGGTTTTGTTCATATATGGGCTGATCCGGAAATGGGAATACAATGCCTGCACTTAAAGGAGGGGGTTTTTTTATATTGGGAGTTTGGAGGGGTTGTTTTGATCTTTCGTATATCTTCTAAGTGTTGTTTTCTGGACCTCGCAAAAGCATGATAATGTTGAGTGTGGTGAAAGTGTTTGGGGAAAGATGAGAAAATATTTTTTTTGAGGGTTTTCTTTCTTTTTTTTGGGCCCCTGCTCGGGGGGAGACGGCCGACTTTTTGAAAAAAAAAAAAAAAAAAAAAAAAAATATAAATATAAATATATAATATATATAAAATATATATAATATAAATATATTTTATATATATATTTATATATAATTAATATATATAAAAAATTTATATATATAAATTATATTAATTTTTATTATCACAACAAAATGAACGCTCACACTTATGAAAGGGGAAAATAGATATTTTTACAGGGAGGTAAAACCACGGCCCGGGGAAAAGTACTTCGTAACTGAGGATGCCACCAGGCCCCCATAACGAGCTCGAACCACACACATCCAAAAAAAAAAAAAATAAACACTCGCTTACACAATAATAAAGGGGTTTTTAAAAAGAACGGGCTCGTCCGGGGACCGTCCACCCAGGAAGGGAAAACTGACGGACACTAGGTTTTCCCGACTCACTATACCACACGAAGGGCACATGATGGGCAGGGCGCCTAATCTGGATGACCTCCGCATACTTAGCCTCAGAAAAAAAGTCACTACCAAATGCAGCCTTTTGCAAAGTAACAAGGTCTTTAAAACTAAGGTGCGCGAAGGGTCAAACAAGTATGGTGAAAAGTGTATTCCATGATGTGGGAGGGGTTTTCCGACACTTTTTATGGTAAAACCCGGGAAACCCCAAGGGGCAAATGCCTAAATCACCGCTTCTAAAAACAAATATTCTCTTTGCACAAATTTAAAAGAATGGGCGTGTACTTTTCCTGAGATGTTTCATGAAGATATGGGGGAATATTAAACACTGAGTGGAGGGGAAACAACCCTTGGGCCCAAAGGTGTACACTCAACCAATAGCACTAAATGGGGGTTGCTTTGGGTAATTCCCCGTGATTACACACCAAACCCCATATTTTTTTTGCCAACTGACACAAATACTCCCTGCACGATTTTAGGAAGTCTGTTTAAAGTCCGGGGGCCCCGAGACAGCAAGCGAGCAATTACAGCAGAACTGGGCCACCCGACCCCCTGGAGGGCCGGTGCTGGTTCACATGTTGCTGGAATTGGGCACCCCAGGCCGCGGGGGATGCACCCTTCAAAGATACTGCCCATCCCCTGTCCCAAATACAACCTACCCCCTTGAAGCCTTCCACCCCAAGCATTTGCATACCTTAAACCTATGCAGTGTACAAGATCTACTCTAAATTTTTGCTGTAAATTTTCCCACCTGGGTTTGATGATCCGTAAATCACCCGTTCCCCGGCCCAGGCCACAAGGCCCCTTCTGGGGCAACCGCTCACTTGGACCTTGATGCCACTGTATATAACAAAAAGCTTGGCGATTGGAAAATTATGAAAGATCCCTTTTCACGGTCCCCTTGAAACCTTCAAGTGGGGATTTCACGTAAGTTCATTTCCAATAAATTGGTTTGAAGAGATACGGGGAAGTTTTTTTTATATTGTGAAGTCACTTCACCCCGCCACACAAAACTTCACAAATAAAAACTTACACATATACTGTAATAAAAACAAATTTCAGCAGAAAAAATCAGTGCTGCACAATAACCATATATCTGCCGAGGTTGCAACCACACTTACCACCAAAACACGACTAAAATGTCAAACTACCCTACGATTGCCGAGTGTTGCAACCACACTACGACCATCACACGACTGTTAGATGCTGTCAGTCTACCCCACGACTGCAGAGTGTTACACAACCACACTTTGACTACCATAGGACTATCAGAATGCTTAAAAATCTTCTCTTCGTGTGTGTATGTGTGTGTGTGTGTATGTGTGTGAGTATGTGTGAAGTGTGTTTGTGTGTGTGTGTGTGAGGAGTCAAGTCTCAGCTCCTGGCCCCGAGCCTCAGCTCCTGGCCCCCTATGTGTAAGTGTGCAAGCGTGTATGTATATGTGTTTATAAATGTGTATGAGAGAGAGAGAGAGAGAGAGAGAGAGAGAGAGAGAGAGAGAGAGAGAGAGAGATTGTAACTCCGTCCCTCCAGGTATAAGGGGACTTAATACCAGACTGCTGATAGTAACTCCGTCCCTCCAGGTATAAGGGGAGTTAATACCAGACTCCTGCTTGCCTTCAGAAGCACACTTTAACACTACTTCAAAACTAACTAGAGACCAGTCTGGCTGTGCTACCCACGTCTGAGTGCACGAACAATTAGAGTAACAGACGAGACCTGGTCTGTGACCTGGCCTGGGGAAACGGACGATGATCAAAGAACAGGTACAACAAGTCTGGTCTCCCTCATAGGAAAAGTGTATGCAGTGATGGCAACTTTGGAGTCGCTGTTGCCCTTCCTGGCTGCTCCACTCTACAATGTTGTCTACACTGCCACCATCACTACTCGAGCTGCCACCTACAACTACCTCTCAGCTGGATTCCACGTCTGCCTTACCCTCTTACTGTTGTGAGTACCTCCCACCCACCATGTCATACTGTTATACTGTTGTGAGTACTTCCCTTCCATCTTGTCTTACTGTTATACTGTTGTGAGTACCTCCCATCAACCATATCTTACTCTTATACTGTTGTGAGTACCACCCACCCACCATGTCTTACTGTTATACTGTTGTGAGTACCTCCCACCCACCATGTCTTACTGTTATACTGTTGTGAGTACCTCCCACCCACCACGTCTTACTGTTATACTGTTGTGAGTACCTCCCACCCACCATGTCTTACTGTTATATTGTTGTGAGTACCTCCCACCCATCTTGTTTTACTCTCACACTCTTGTGAGTAGCCACTTCTCATACTGTATTACTCTCATATTGTTGCGAGTATCCTCTTCTGTTGTGAGTACACACCACCTCCCTTGTCTTACTTTCGCTGGCCTGAGTACCTATTTCCTCATCTTTCACTTCATTAAAAACCCATTTTTGTCATTTTCAGAGGAGTGACGATGTCAATGACGAAGGTAACGCAGATACTACCTTAAAGCCTCGGCCCCTTCCACAGTAGCACCATTGCACCACAACTCAATTACCACTACACTACCACAGTAGTACCGCATCGCCATAAGTCTTCCTGTATACATTACAAGCGAACAATGAGAGAATCAGTACAGTGCGTCATAAATGGCTGGAGTGTGTTATGCATGGCAGGAGTGCGTTATATATGGCTGGAGTGTGTTATGCATGGCAGGAGTGCGTCATATATGGCAAAAATGCGTCCTGGGCGTCTTTAGGCCTGCATCAGTCTGGCTCCTGAGTTTATCTTGTACTCGCCTATTTGTGGTTGCAGGGGTCGATTCGGAGAGACGTAGGAAGTAGCTAAGCAACCTAGGAAGCAGACAGGCAATCTGATGCATCTGGAAAGTTTAAGTAACTCTTCTTGTGTCGCATTATATATCATTATTTATCATTGTTACTGACTTTATTGCTTAATAAAGTTATAGTTAAACTGCAAAGTTTTTATTGTTCTTTATTTACTACTTCTTAACAAATAAATTTAAAGTCAAGTTTGTAGCAAATTTATTTCTGTGGCATAAAAAAATGATCAGTGAAACTTTATTATAAGTTTTTCATTTCTTGAGGAGAAAAGAAATATTCATAGAGATATATATTCATAGAAATGTACACAGAGATTTGTATCTCTCAGTATATATACACTTGATTGACGGGATTTATTCTGTGTCTACTGACTGGGGGATTTTAAACGTTGTACGGTTATTAAACAAAAGCATGTGTTATGACGACACAGCTGGGTGTCCCACAGCACACAACACACACGTGGGTGTTCCACGCAACACATACATGGGTGTTCCACACAACACACGTGGGTATTCCACACAACAGACATATGGGTGTTGCACAGAACACACACGTGGGTGTTACACACAACACACACGTGGGTTTACACACAGCACACACACCCGGGTGTTCCACAACACATACAAGTGTCCGGACACTAGCCGGTTTTCCATGGGAACTCCATCACTTGGTCGGGTTCCTTGGCAACACAGGTGCGACGGTCGTCCTGAAGCCGCATTCCCGAAGGGCAGTAGCAAATGAAGCCTGAAGGCAGCAGACGTGACGACAAACAGTGGTGGCTGCACTCTTTTCTCTCACACGGATCTTCCTTCTGTTCAAATTGAAGCATCGGTCAGAAACTCACAGCTCATGTTCACGAACAGATGGGATGATAGATTTAAGTGAAAGAGGTATGATGAGTGACAAAAGGAGCCTTCTGAACTATGCATTCGAGGTTGTTTAACGGTAGAAGTGACATTTAAATGGTTGGTGAGATTGTTTAGATGTTGAAATGGCAGGTGAGGTTATTTAGATGTAGACGTGACAATTAAATAGTTGGTGAGGTTTTTTTTAGATGTAGAGAGGAAAGGTATTTGGATATGTCTGAGTTCAGAGAAGTAAAGATATATCTGATAAATAAAGCAAAGAGGGTAAGTGCAGGAAGAAAACTCATGAAAATATGAGATACAAAAAGTAACAAAAGAGAAAACACGTATTCGCCGCCTAGACAGCGGCTTTGGTGGACGTGCTATTGGTGCTCCTCCTGCATTCCCGAGTAGTTGTCCGTGAGCATAATGGCCACGGGATTAAGGAAACGTGTCAACACAGTAGGGATTGAATTGCTGAAGGAAGATTGCTGACGAAGATCTCTACGGAGTAGCCATAAATGAGGTAAAACGAATGTTCGTCAAGGTGTTATTGGCTGAGATGTACGAAGCGGTCGTTGACAAATTTCAAGACGTCGTGATGGAGGTGACCGCAGATTTGTCAAAGTGCGCTTGGTGGATGTGTCCAAAAGATAAACTTGGGTGAAACTTCGTAATATACCTTTTGAGGCAACCGAGGATGACTTATGGCAGGGGTTCAGTCGTTTTGGTAGGATAGGAATCCACCTTTATAAGTTTGTCTATCATCTTATTAATAAATATGGAACAGTGTTTGTCTTGGATCGTACACTGTAATGTTTTGGTTCTGGAAGGAAATTTAAAAAAATGGTAACTGTCTTAATTTTCTTAAGAAGGTTTTTATTTTTTCCCACTGCCTGGGAAGCATAAAATGCATACGCATATATATATATATATATATATATATATAATAATATATATATATTATATAATATATATATATTATAATATATATAATATATAATACTAATATATATATTATATAAAAAATATAATATATATATAAATTATATATATAAAATATATATATAATACTAATAAAATATATATATATATAAATATATATATATTATAAATATATATAATATATATAAAATATTATAATATATAATAATCATAATAAATAATATATAAATATATTAATATATATATATATATATATTTATATATATATATATATTGCAAAACAACCACTCTGAAAGAATAGAGAAATTCCAAGCGCTTTCGTGACTACTCACTTTATCAAGGAACTATGATAGTTCCTTATAATGTGAGTAGTCACGAAAGCGCTTGGAATTTCCTATTCTTTCAGAGGGGTTGTTTTTGCATATTCTGAAATCACCTGTTTACTGTGATCTTATTGCATATAATATAATATATATATATATATATATTATAATATATATATAATATATATAATATATTATATATATATGTCGTGCCGAATGGGTTAGAACTTGCGTTTCTTGGTTTAAATGGCAGCGCTCATCTTGCCATTAGGACAAGCGAAAATTGGTGTATGCAATAATTTCGCCAAAATCATTCTGAACATTACGAAAAAAAGATATTTCACTGTATTTGTTTAATATTAAATTATTGTAAACAAATCTAAAATATATTTAGTTGCGTTAGGCTAAAATAAATTGTTCTTGTTATAATAAGGTTAGGTAAGTTTTCTAAGATTCTTTTGGTGCAAAATTAAAAATTTTTACATTAACATTAATGAAAAAATAAATCTTTAAACGTATAAGAGAAAATTTTAGAAAGGACTTAATTTAAAATGAGTTCTTGCTAATTGACCAGCTGTGGAGAAATTTTCTCCAGGAGGGGAGTATCAGCCCCCTTCAGCCCCTTCAGCCCCTTTCAGCCCTTTCAGCCCTGAGGGACCAAACCCTCTCAGAAGAGGCAAGCATCTTGTTTACTGCTACAGTGAGTAATTGATCACAGATGCCGTACGAGTATGCGACGTGGTCAAGTGACCGCCGCTCCTTCCAGTGTTGCAGAGTGTATTTTAATAAGAGACAGTACATCTCTTACTTTAGCAGGACAATTAAGGAAAATCCTGCTCCCCTTTATTACCATAGTAAAGATAGTGGACATTGTTGTCTATGCTTAAGACAGCAAGAATCAAAACATTCTGCTTTGCTTCATCGAGGAAGTGGCAAGGAAGCAAAAGTACTATGTCCCGCTTTTTTTTTGTGTTGGGGAGTAACGGCGTGGGGGCGCTGTGGCGTCTTCCAGATTTTCTTTTGACTCTCCTGAGAGTGACACTGACGCCAGGATAACCAGCAAAGAACGTTTTGTGCGTTAGTGTGAACAAAGTATCTCATAAAACACAATAAAAAACTTAAGAGAAGTGTGATCAGCTTCTTTAGTGATAAGATTGTGAAAAATAAAGACAAATCTTTTGGAAAATAGTGTACCAGTGTGCATATTCTTAGACTATGGAAGACGTGGGCATCCAAGGCACTTCAGCTTCTATCAACACCGATATCTGCGAAAGGGGTGAAGAACCCCATAGCCACCTACAAAAGCAAGGTAGGTTACGAATTTCTTGTAGTTTTCGGGGGGGTGCGCATTCTTGAGTCGCAAAAGGGGCTTGTAATCAACCTAAGTCGGCAGTAAGGTGCAGACTTTTTATCCAAAAAAAAAAAAAAAAATATGAATTTGTCAGCCTCGTTAATGAAATATGCTGACTAAATCCCAGGGGAATTTTTTAATCTTACAAAATTAAAAATCTTTACAGCCATTGAGAGAACTTTGACAGCTTCCAAAATCGGGCTGCAGGGGGCTGTGCAGGCATGACTGTCTTTTTTAATTTTGTACAAACTCTTTTAAACTTAGCTGGAATGCCTTTCTCAAAAATATTGGTCGGCTCGAACCGGATAAAGGCCACACTGTGGTCCAAAAATGTTTTGCTACAGTTTACAAAAAACCACGGCCAAGGCCCTTGAAAAAAATCTGTAAAAAACATTTTTTTTTAAAATTTTTTTAAATCATTTTAAAAATGAGTCCGCCAGCCCTCAATCACAGGAATGGAGCCAAAAAAAAAACGGGCGCTCACCCAGATTCCCCCAAAAAAACACGGGGGGGGTGACTCACCCAACAAAAAAAAGGGGGGATGGCACCCGCATCCCATGCTCCAAACTCGAAGAAGTGCTGACAAGACAACAAAAACCCAAGTGATTTTTCGGTTTGTCTGATGTATATACACATAGTTTTTTTATAATTTTTTATAGAAAAAATTAAGAACAAGTTTGGTTAAATTTTGTTCTGTATATATAACTGTTATATTAAAGGGTTTAAATTTATAAAGGTAAGCTTTCAAATAAAATTTTAACAGGATTTTTAAATGGTGAAGTAATGTCATGTGGATTTACATTTACGTGACATTAAGTGTATAGGAAGAATGTATAATGTTTTTTTACGATTAATCACCGTGGCCGGCGACACGGCAAACTCAAGCCTAAACCCCCCCACATGCTTTTTGTACCCTTCAGGGTCATTGACCCGAGGTTAAGCTTATGGGTCAGTAGTGGGCCCTGATCGATTATTGCGATTTAAAGCTAACAAAAACTCACGTTTATAGCATCAGTGTTTTTTAAACACTCCAAGTGTGGTGCTAAAATTTTCATATACCAAAAAAGGCTTTTTTAAAAAACTCATTTTCAGTCTTACAGACAAAGATTACAAAATTTAAAAAATCAATTTTCGTCTGTTTTTTATGGATTAATCAAGATACAAAAAAGATTTTGATGATCTTGAGGTCAAATTTGAATTACTTACCGACGTCGGGAAAAATAATTAAATTCAGACATACCTTTTGAAAATAAATTTCTTGAATCAGCCCCATCTGGGGATGAAATTTTAAAAATTTTTGGATACTTTTAAGTATCCAAAAATTAAAAAGGTGGACGGGTACGGGCTATTCCCCACAAAACTCTGTCACGAGACCCCTTAACTAGTGGTCAAACACCTTTTAAAACCTGTAACAACAAAAAGTGTTACATTACCAACTTACCTACATTGTCTTACCTATTTTCCAAAAGGTCATAATTATGAAAAATTTCATTTAGGGGTTTTTTAAATCCTAGTAAATTCACGAACTGCAAGATGAGATTGCAAATTAAATTTACCTTAAATGTCTGTAAAGGGGAGAACCCTTTTAAAAATGATTAAGTCTTTCCGGGGGGTTAAAGGAAATTTATAAATAGCCTTACGGTTTACAGACAATTTATTTCGATGCTGACAAGGCCAGAGTTGCCCATGCAGTCTTAATATAAAGTTTGAAGCCACCCAAACATTTTTTTTTGCTTACGGGCATTAGAATCACTTTAGAAATGTCCCGATCTCGGGTGCTAATATGACCTAAACAATGTATTGGTTTACAGTGGTATTTACAAAAAATTTTTGTCACCAAAACATGAAACGATTAAATTTATTTCAATAAACCTTTTTCATTGTAGGAAATTGAAAGGGTTTACAACAATAGTTTCATGCAGCAAAAAACGAGACAAGATGAAAAATCCACAAACCCCCGTGGATAAAAAAACCTTCAACTCGAATAAAAAGATATCCTACTCCCACTAAAACCACAGAAGGGGAAATCCCATATAGGAAATTTTATCGCGTGAATCAACAGACAAAAAACAGATGTCATACATAAACTCCCCCAAAATGTGTATTTTGTGATGGAAATTTTGGGCACAGTATTGTTTTCAATACAATCAATGGAGGGACGAAAAAAACGTTTCATCGCTGAAAAGGGCATCAAGTTTTAGGTGAACACAAGGAAGAAAATGTTACTGAAGAAGTGCTTTAAAAGCAAGGGTAGATCATACAGCATTTTTGCCCAAAACTTTTTTCTGAACAGCAGAAAGACTTCCACAGAAACAGAATCAAAAAGCAACAACTTTTAAAGTGAGAA